GTCCTAAGTGACCTCAAGGTGTACTATTAACCCTGCCAGTGAGGGCTAGTAAAAGTTCAAATCTCTTAGAATGTAAGCTACTTTTATCCTAAGGCCCACACACCCATGTAGGCGTGTGCATGTAACAGCATCACACGCGATGGTCACAGGGCAACTTGCGGGAGCCAGTTCTCCTTTTCCAACACATTGAGTTCTGGGGAACAAACTCAGGTCACCAGGCTTAGTGGCAGTGCTCTTACCCACTGAGCCATCAACTTTTGGTTTGGGGGTAGGGTCTCCTTTTTCCATGCCGGTCTCAAACTTGCTGCATGGCCAAGGATGATCTAGACTTTCTAATCCTTCCTCCACCTCCTTAATGCGGGGCTTACAGGTCTTGTTATAAGAGGGGCTGGGGACTGAATTTAGGGCTTCCTGTATGCCAGGCAAGCACTTGGCCTATTGAGCTGTATCCCCAGCCCTGACATTTCCTTATCTAACCATAAGGCCATTATCACACCTGGTCAATGAATAACAATGCTTTAACAGCTAATACCTAGTTCCCAAGAAAGTTTTAAAAACCGTAAGGCTTGAAATCTCTGTTGCTTCTCTGGAGAAAGGCTACACCACAGCCAGCCTTAATAGATTCATTATCAGGAAAAAACTTATATGCTTAGCTTAAGTTTTTATCCTATTACTGCATATCATGCCCCCGTGTATTGTATTAAATGAATAATCTCCCTTTTTAGTGTTTACACACTTCAGATACTTGTACAAAGTTAGCCTCCCTCCCGTCTTTGCTTAGCTGAGCTGCACATATTTAAATCTGCTGGTCTGTGCTCGTAAATCCACCCGTCAGCTCCTCCACCATGTTGCTGCTCAGCTCCGAACTGTGCCCAGCTGCTTTTTATAAAGCCCATACCGAGCAGCCCCAGACCAGATGTAGTCCAAGAGGGGGTCTCACCCAAGATGAACCCCCGCCCGTTCCACCCTGCGCTCAGGCTCAAACCACAAGTTTCTTGTCTGCCACATGAAAATGGAAACAAATGTCTCGTTCTATGCTTTTACTCCATGTCCTTTTTATCTAAAATAGCTTTCTTTCTTTCTCCTCCTCCTCCTCTCTTCTCCCCCTCCTCCTCCTCCTCCTCCTCCTCCTCCTCCTCCTCTGCGTTACAGCACGTGCTCCATCCCTCCCACTAAACGTGTGTCACAGAGCACTTTTCCCCGGATGTGATGCAGGTAGGCATGAGTGTGCCCTGTACACTATGGGTGCATCTCTTGGTGGGTCACCTCCCCTCAGTCCCACTTCAAGGTCTTTGTCTAAAGACAGATCCTATGATGTCACGAGAGCAGCTGCAAGGGACTAATGGAATAACCTAAGTGAAAGGGTTTTAAGGTAATTAGCCCCCATTCCCACCCCAGACAGAGTTTCTCTGTGTAACAGTGCTGGATTTCCTGGAACTCACATAGACTCGCCTGCTTCTGCCTCCCGCGTGCTGCAATTAAAGGTGCAGGCTACCACCGACGGACAATTAGTCCCTTCTTATTACTGGGCACATTCTGAGATCCCCATTGAATGCCTCAATCTGTAGCTAGTACCACACTGACGTCTGTCATCTTCTCTAGACATTTCTATGATATAAATGAGGCAGTAAACTGCTGATGATAAAACAGTGATGAAAGCACCCTAATAAATGCTAAGTAGAACCTGTGAACTATCCACAGCCAGAAATTCCTGTTTTCTATGTCCAGATAGCGGCTAACTGCAGACAATGAGACTGGGACGCGACGCCACAAAGAAGGGCTGCTGTACTAAGGTTAATGCTGTGTCTATAAACGTGTGGACACATCTGGCTCGGGACTGCTCGGCACATTTTACAGGAAACAGCTAGGCATGGTTCAAAGACACGCTCTCAGATGACGGAGGAGATGGGATGGGCTTCCAAGCAGAGTAAATGGGTTAAATGTGTGCAAATAGTTAGGGCTTCTTAATGTACCAGATGCACAGATGTGGACACCCATTCTCTAAAGCCACGTCTACTTGCATCGGTAGCTTATCTACCGAAATCTCTGTTGTCAGGAAATTGTGGCTCACATCTTATTACCCAAAAAAAGAGACGGCATCTCTGAAATGCCCATGATAAGGACCCGCGAGGCGGGAGACTCGCGTGCACCCCCCTCTGTGTGGTCAGGTATGAGCTATATGCAGCTAGTCACTGCTCCCTGTCTCCTGGGCTCCAAGAACCTTACTACCTTATCTGAATCATCTAATTTGGGGTTCAGGACTTTGTGAAGGGGAGTCTTAATACCCCCACTTTACAAGCAAGGGAAGTGAATTAACTTGTCTCAGGTTAACAGCTGATGGTAGCAGCAGCCTGCGTCATCCAGAGCCCATGCAATCAACCACTTGGTTGTTTCAAGTCACAGTTAGGAAGCCCTAAAGACAGACCAGCGTCAACAGACTCTACACACAATACACTCTGCGGTCTTTCCAAGACGCTCATCATCCGGTAAAAGAGGGCTATGCATGTGGATGTCCCCATCACAGGCAACTGTTATCAGCTACCCGGTGCCTAAGAAAATGCTACTCAGACAGAATTTCAGCTTCATTTCCTTCGAGAAAAACGATGGCTAATCACTTTGTCCTTCAATTCCATAACCCTCAATTATCTAGAAATCACTAAAGACCGTCAATTTCATTTTTGCTTCATTCAAATGTCCGTCACCTAATGAGTCTCCCGTTTGTAGTTTACGACCTCAATCAGTCATTATTGCTCCGTACTCATTTCTAACTGGGTGTCTGCCTCCTGCTTCCTCCTCTGTAGCTGTGCTAGTGCAGGCTCCGTAAGCAAAGCTGCATATGAGCCGGTCTCTGCTCTGAAGCATCGCTGAGTCCTTACGAAGCTTCAAGGCTCAATGACATCATCCCAGATGACTCAGACCCTTTTCTCCATTCAGACTGGACTCCTACTGACTGACCCTGTCCTCTGCCATCTTTGCAGGACTAATCTCTCCCTCAGCTGCTCTGTCCCCTTGGGTCTCTGGTGACTCCAAGCCTGTCTTCCAACGACGTCCTGTGCTCTCTCCTCTCCTTTCAGCAGGAATGTAACAGATGTTTTCAGGAACATCTTTTTGTTCCATTAAGCCCTTCTGACAGACACACTCACGGATGATGTGGTCCACAGCCCTGCACTGCTCTCTCTCGCTCTCTCTCTCTCTTTCCCTCTCTCCTTCTTGAAATCCCTTCTCAAGTTAAGTGAAGGCTCTTAAAGGCCTGAACCATGTCTCTTGTACACCATGCCTTATCCCCTCAGAGGAAAGTCACTTGTGAATATTTTGACAACTGCTGTATTTGAGTTACAGAGTAAGATGAGCCCAGTCATACTGTCAGCTCTGAGAACTCAGGGAACATTAGTGACTTGATATGGCCTCTGAGTGCTGTCCTGGCTAACACAGGAATTTGGAGTTAGAAGCCACTTGTCTGTGCTCTCTTCTCTTAGAACAGAAAGAGGAGAAGGTGAAATATTTCAAAGCACCCCAAAACACGAAAAATTGTGTTCTTTAGACTACTTCTCGGCAGATTATGATTTTTAGTGTGTGTGAGTATATATGTGTGTATGTGTGTGAGTGTATGTGAGACTGTGTGTATTTGAGTGTTTTGTGACTATGTGTGTATGTAAGTATATATGTGTCTGAATGTGTGAGGCTGTGTATGTGTGTGAGTGTGAGACTGTGTGTATTTGTGTGTATGTATGTGAGTGTGTATGTGTGTGTGAGTGTATGTGACTGTGTGTATTTGAGTGTGTGTGTGTGTGTGTGTGTGTGTGTGTGTAGAGGCCACAGCTCAGCCTTGGTTCCCTTTCCTCAGGATGCCTTCCACTGTTTTCTGGGATTTGCAGACTGGTCTTGGTTCTCCAGCCTTTTGTCTCTGCCTCCCCAGGGCTGGGATCAGCAGCATGTGCCATCCACTCGGCTTTTCTCCATGGATCTGGGGCCAAACTCAGGTCCTCTGCTGGCACAACAGGCGTCCTAGCAACTGAGCGTGCTCCTTTGACGACTGGTTCCTACGGAACCTAGATAACTGTAACATTAGTTCCACAAGTCAGTTTCTCAAACACTCTTAGGATACGGTAGGTTCCATTTTTACCAAAAACAGACCAAATAATCTCAAAATTCTTTCAACTATAAATGCCGGGGGGGGGGGGGGGGGATAATTTAAGTATACAGAAAACCTCAAGGGAGTACCAAATTCTACCCTGATGGTAACAAGACACTGGATAATGCTTAGAGACATCAGGGAGTGAAGGATGCAGGGTAAACTGAGAGAAAACAAAGGGAAGATGGGGAACAAACGCACTTTGGGAAGAAGACAGAACGGGCAGACGCAGTTGAAGTAGGTGCTCTGTCATGATTCTCCAGTAGATCTAACGGTAGATAGGGCTGATGGGTGGACAGACAGATGACTGATGGACAGACACATAGAAGACGGATAGAAATATAGACACGTACTCATTTCCTTGTTTCCGGTCTTTGAGCGAAAGCATTTGTTGGCTTTTTTGTTCAATAGGTATGTTACCGGCTACAGGATTTTGAAGGTTGGTTATCGGGTTATAAAAACTGCACATTGGTGTTTTCTAGTCTTTACATGGTTATGATTTCATTTAAAATAACTTTGTTTCTTTCACCCATTAAGTTGCTTTGAAGTTTGTTATTTAATTTCTAAATACTAGGGGAATTCTCTGATTGGTCTCATGTTGGAAATCACCAAATATGTGACTATAAAATACATGGGGGGAGGTTGGAGGTGGGGGAAGGGAGACGGGGGCGTGAGGGAGAGACTGGGGGCATGGGGGAAGGTTGGGGTGGGGAACACAAACACCTCTGTAAATAGCTCAGAGAACATTTAGTGCCAGTGCCCTTGTGGCACGCCGGAATCCCGAGGCACTGCTGGAAAGCTTTGAGACCCTGCTCCTGGCAGCTACCAAAGCTCCACACACGTACACTGTATGTATGACCTTACGTACCTTTAGGTTGTGCACCTTACTCCACGGTTGGATGCAGCCGATGCAAGTGAGGACGCATTTCTCACCAGGAAGCAAATACTAGAGAGCTCATCTGAAACCGAAGCAGTGCGTTGTCATGGAGTAAAACACAGAGGGCGGTGCTAAGCACAGAGACACCAACAGTAAAGGAACACAAAGCCGTGTCAAACGCTTCCTGACTCCCTCCCGATGTTTGTGTGATGTCCGGATTAGCTCCCTTCCTGTTGCTGCGACAATACACCATGACCAACTTTCAGAAGGGAGGGTCTGTCTGTGTTTATGGTTTCAGAGGGCTCGGTTCCGTCAGACAGGCATGGAGGCTGAGGTAGGAAGCTGAGAGTTCAGATCATCAACTGTGAGCAGAAAGCAGAGTGAACCGGAGGTGATGTGGGGCTTTTCATCTCAAAGGGTGACCTTCTTCCTCCAGCAAGGCTGTCATCCACACACACACACATACACACACACACCCGGGGCCAAGTCTTCATCCAAATATCAGATCCTAGTGGACATGCCCATTCAGTCACAACAGCCCAACCCCAGCACGGTTAGTTAGAAAGTAGAGCTTAGATAAAGCCATGCGTTAGAGCCCACGATGAGATTAGTGCCCTGTGTGAAGAGAAGGGGACAAAGGACTTTCTTCTCTATCCCAAGAGGACTTGGTGAGCCAGAAGAGACTTGATCAGAAACAAGACCATGTTGGCACTCTGCCCCAGAGAAAACAGCTGCTGGCTGGGCCAATCCCATCTGTGGTATTTGCTATAACAGCCTGGGCTAAGACAGCAACAAAATAAAGAACACACACACATCACACACACACACACATCACACACACACACCACACACACCACACACACACACATCACACACACACCACACACACACATACACCACACACCACACCACACACACACATCACACACACCACACACACAATCTTGAGCAGACATGGATGTGCACAGACGTGTGCTTACACTTATATAAAGCACAAAACAGACGCGATAGTAAAACGCACAGTGTGTAGTGGGTGGGAGCAGGGTGTGAGTGACCCCCAAAGCTGCAGAGCCTAGGGGCAGGCAGGGCTAGGAGTGTTCTGCTGCTGGATTTCCACACTGGTTACAAATGTGTCCTGTCTCTGAAACCACGTGAAGCTATATGCTGATGAACAATTCTCTGCATACATATTGAGTCGTTAATAGAAGTTTAAAGATACATGTTCACAGAAAGCCTGATGAAGAAATAAGACAACACGGAGCTTTGGGACACAGCTCAGTGGTAGGACAATGTCTGAACATGAATGAGGTCCTGGGTTCAATCCTTTGCGCCATGGGGAGGGAGAGGCAGATTTTAAATAATGCACTATATATAATATACTGTGATGTTTTAGAAATAGAACAGAATATAACAGTCACTGCAGAAGGAAGCATCTGGAAAAGAGATTGAGGAAACTCAGGACTAAAAGCAGAAGGATAAAGGGATGGGAACCATGAAAGAGGGGTTGGATGCCCACGATGAAACGTGAGCGTACGAAAGACTAATAACTAGAAGACGTGTACAATACAAGAAATGAAGGGCGAAAACCCTCCAGAATCAATAAATGCAGTAAAACCCAAGTTCCCGAGGAATGAGGTTCTGAGAACACAAAGCCCAGGACTTGACTCTGGCAGGGTTCTTAGAGACAGGCCAAGCTGTCTCCTTCGTCAAAGGTGAGTCCTCAGAGATGAAGGATTCGCCCCCCACCAAAGAGCTGACTAATGATGGGACAGAACTAATCTTATTACACAGTTTTCCAAGAGAAATGAGTAGAAAACAATCCCTCACAACTTTATGACTGGCTTTAGCACTTTTCACAGCAATCTGAAAACATACCATGTTGCTAATGAAGGTACTGCCAATCTGGGTGCCATGAAATGTGTTCATCACATCTGCATTAACAGAGGACCAGGGCAGCTAGAACCGCTGGCACAATATCCAAGGAAAGCCGTCTATTTACAATTTAAGGTTAATACAATAATTTCAGTGCCCAAATGTCACATGGTTATCTTCATCTGTTTGATAACCGCACGGCACTTTAGAGCGCCTTTGAATCACGTTTTCCATTATCCAGATCATGATGCAATGAAAATTACTTTCTTCCTTTGAAACAGAACTCACCGGCTAACTGAACCTGTAGATGTTTACTGTTTGACATGGATTTCAATCAGAGGGGCAGAAACTGAACCGTTCAGATGGGTGACTCCCAATGAGTCAGAAACCAACAATTAATTCACTACGGAAAAAAGGAGGATCCAGTGAGCACAGGGAAATGGGAGTTTATCCCTTGCTCACCAATCGCAAGGTTGAGTTTGTAAAGAACAAATTCCCATTATTTTGATGTTCGTAGATTTTAAGGTCAGGAAATAATTCTTTGACTATTTTAAACAACTTTCAAGTGAACAAAATATTTCTCAAAAACGTAAGGCTTAAAGAATCAAAATCAAAAGGGCATGCAGATGGTGGTGGTGCACGCCTTTAAACCCAGCAGTTGGGAGGCAGAGGCAAGCGGATCTCTGTGGGTTCGAGGTCTACAAAGTGAGTTCCAGGACGGCCAGGACTGTTATACAGAGAAACCCTGTTTCGGAAGAGAGAGACAGAGACAGAGAGAGAAGAATGAAAATGAGGTGATTTGGTATGCCCCATCCTGGGGTATCTTCAGAAAATTCTAACTTGCCTTTGCCTGTAAGTAAAATGACTTTATCATGCCAAGTATCTTCAGGCCTAAGATACATAACTCACATATATTTCTCCCACGTTTTGATGAAAATTTTAGAAAGGATGAATCTTTAACTTGCTCAGAGCTTTCTGTCTTGGTTCTAGCTACCCATGAAAGTGAAAATACTTTAATATATTTCAACTGCTTTGGAGGAAGAAACGAGTCGGCAAGTATGGGCAGCAGAACCGAAGTTGAAAAGGCAAGACATGTGGTCTCGGTGCTGCCGGCTTGGCGGGCTCCGGCGTCTGCGAGACGGGCCTCTGGCATGCCTGGGAGGACGATCTGGCCAGGTTAACTGAAGCAGGAGACCTATGTTAACAGGGCCATTCCCGAGGCGGGGGTTCTGGACTGTGTGGAAGGGAGAGAGCCCGTGAGTGCTAACACGTGTGGCTTGCTAGTGCTGTCTGCGGACTGCGCTGAGCAGCTTGGCTTCCCTGCTCTGACCGGCTGTACCCCTGAACTGGAGCCAAAATAAGCACTTCCCCTATTGGTCGCCTTTGTCAGGACCTGGAGAAGAGACCAAGACAGGCCATGAAAAATATTTCTGCTAAGCGCTTACTGCACATAAGTCATGTAACAGAGAAAGAAACCATCGAGACATTTATTTATACGAATGAAGAAAGTATAGAGACAAACGGCCCAGAGCAGAGAGACTTTAGCAACCACATGTGAAATCCCCAACAAATGGTGAGACCACAAAACTGTGTGTACTGCATCGCCTACGGTAACCACGAACTGAGACGCACTTAAGTGCGCACCAATAGGAGAGCAGTTTAGAGGAGCGGAGTCAGAGTGTTGTGGCCGAGATGATCGCGAAGACTAAACACACACGAAAAGTCAGTCAAAGCATAAGTGTCCGATTACATGAATAAAAGGGGGATACAATACAAAAATAAAGTCTGAAATGGTTGTATTAGGATGAGGAGCATTATGGGTAGGTTTTTGACTTGTGCAATTTTCCTCAGCATTTTCAAACCAAAGGAAAGGACTGGCTACCATTTCTGGAACCTACTCGCTATTCCAGAGTCCACTCTTTCCTATCAGAAGACAGAAGACAAAAGAAATCGCTCAGCCACGTGGTCAATTCGGACTCCAGCTGTTCACAAAGACACGCCATACACAGCCTACGCCATTCCAAAGGGCAGCGGGATCCACTGCCATCTTTGCTACACCAAACACAGGGCACCAGGCAGGTGTGAGAAACCTGACAGACGTTCCGGGTCTCACTCCACAGCCCTAGCTGGCCCGGAACTCACAGAGATCCTCCTGCCTCTGCCTCCTCAGTGCCAGGATTAAAGGTTGCACCATGACAGTTGGATCAAACTTACAAACCTTCTAATTTACAAATTTACCAGGATATCAATACTCTTCTTTTTCTGTATTATACTAAGAATTAGTTTTTAAATTAGAAAAAGTTCATTTCTTATGTGTGGAGGGGTGGGGCGGGCGTGCTCACGCTACGGAGAAGATGCAGACAGCTTGCTGGTGTTGGTTCTCTCCTCCCACCACGCAGGCTGCCCATGAACAACCAGGCGTGGGGGCAAGTACCTCTCTTTACCTGACGAGCCGTCTTGCCTGCTCAGAAGTAGTTTTAACATTTTTATTAAAAATGTTGCCAATATGCTGATAGTATTCTGTTGAAGCATCTAACTTTTTATATTAGGTTTACATTACAGTAACCATATTAAGACCATCAATTTATTTATTTAGTTAGTTACAGGAAACAACTTTTAAAAAGAATGGTAATCTGAAAAGCATACAAACTTGTATTTTATAAAATATTTAATAAATCTTCTTTTTGAAAATACACTTTAGAAAATGAAGCTCTGAATGTTGTCACAGCTGCATGATACATTCTATCCCTACATGACACAGGGGTGCAGGCTGTAATCGCTGCAGCTGAACATATCTGCATAATACATACATGACACAGGGGTGCAGGCTGTAATGGCTGCAGTTGAACATATATATGCACGATACATTACATCCCTACATGACACAGGGGTGTGCGCCTGTAATGGCTGCAGTTGAACATATCTGCACGATACATTACATCCCTACATGACATAGGGGTGCATGCCTGTAATGGCTGCAGTTGGGAGTGGAAACAGGAGGAGCCTGGCTACACAGCGAGTGAAGTCATCCTGGCTTTAATTAGATACCTTTTAAAGTAACTATTTTATCTGTGTATGCATGGAGACATGCGCATTCACGGATGCCACAAGGACAGACATGGGTGTTGAGTCCCTTCAGGTCTGCGTAGCAGGAGCCACCTGATGTGGGTGAGGCACGGTGGAAAAGCAATGAGT